CGTGAAATAAAGTAATACAGCTTTGCCATAGCAGAACGAGAAATAAAGTAACTCACGCACAATGCAGATTTACTAACAGGACAATAGGTACAGTAACTCACATATAATACAGCTTTACTATAGCAGAACGAGAAATAAAGTAACTCACGCTCAATTCAGATTTACTATAGCAGAACGAGAAATAAAATAACTCAAACTCCATACAGCTTTACTATAGCAGGACAAGAGCTACACCAACTCACGCACAATGCAGATTTACTAACAGGACAATAGGTACAGTAACTCACAAATAGTATAGCTTTACTATAATATAAATTGATAATATTTTCCAATGTTAAAAACTCGGTCAAAGTACATGTATTACCTTTTAGAGAGCCATACTGAGAGACATTCTATTGTAGAGACTTATATATTTTTTTGTTATAAACTGCATATTAGAAATAAACATAAATTATACACATCGTCACAAAAAGAAAGAGGTTTAAAGTGTTTCTTTTTCGACAAGAGATGTAAATAATAAATGTGTTTGTATATATTTTTAATTATAAAAGTAACTAAATTGTAAAGACTAGAAATTTATTAAGTTAGATAAGAAGACTTTAATGATAAAAAATTCTCATGGTACTCAGACATCCTACAATGTCTTACATTCAGGCAACCACGCGCATATTAAGCATGGTGTGATTGTAACTAGATGGCTTGTTTACAGAAAGCTGTTCCCACTGGGATAAATCATTTTGATGAAAGAAAAACTATAAAACAATACAACTAAATAAAGCCAGATGTGAATAAAATAAAACTGTACTGAAGAAATAATTGGTATTCATTTAAGAGATTCTATAAGTTGTTTAAATTAAATATGAAAACTGTGAGTTGAAATATTTTTTATTCTTAACACGAAAATCAAGTATCACTCAAATTGACTCAGTAAATACTTCGGAAATTCACAGAGAAACTGAAGTAGAAATATTATATAATTACTTCAAAGTCTTTCTGTACAACAGACGTTTAATGTTTATTAAAGTTTATCAAATTTCGTGAAGACATACCAAGTAAATTCAGAATTACAGTAAACATTACCTTTCCAATACAACTTCAGGGTGTTATGTAGAGGGAAACTGAAGAATGTGAGATTAAGATTGTTCACTTCTGCTCATAAGTTAGTACATGAGTCTACTGACAGTGTACCAACACTCCTGTTTGGAAGAGAACTGAAAGTGCCATTGAACCATGTGTACTCGCATCCTGAGAATCATTACTCAGGAGAGCCTTACACAGAGTGCACAGAGAGATTAAGGAACACAACTGATGCCATTCATGATTTTACACGAGAAATATTTAAATTACTTGGTGATAATATGGAAAACCACTAATGATGTAAATGCTGATAAGATTGGATAATTACAGATGGCTGTAAGATCCACACTGCAAGAGAGCATGATCACTTAAGTTAAATAGATGTTGAAAAGAAGCCCATGCTTTAGTATAAAGAATCAATAATGTGGTTCATAGAATTCAGACAAACAGGGGCTCAAACTAAAAGTCACCCATCTTGATGATTTTTGGAAGTATACCAGGAAAATACAGTCAAACCATTAACTACAGAGAATATTAATAGTGGTAAGTCAATCTGCTGAATAGCCCAAGGTTTCTGTGAAGACCACTTCCAGAGTATCATCAAGGATGGGGCCACCAGTGGATTTCCTTAGTTATCTATCTCTAGAGATATCCTCCTGTGACAAACTAGCAAATGTTTATAAACGGAAAGATGTCAATCCATTTTTGTACCATAAGCTATTAGAAAAAAATTGGTGACTGGACAGTTAGGGCCTTTGAAATTAATTAATGATTTAATATATATATATATTTATGAATATTTATGCTGTTCTTGTCAACAAATACTTTATTGTTAACCATGAAAGTCTTCGTTTAATGTATCAGCGAAGGGGCAGTGTTGTAGGCTCTGTTTTTTAAGCTTAGGTATTTGTTTTGACTTAAATCTGACTCGAAATTTTAGAAAATGATTTGAACAATACAGTAGTTGGGAAGACCAGAAGGAACTGATGATTGACTCGTGAGCCTGTGGAAGTGGTGGATCATATAGAAGGAACTGATGATTGACTAGTGAGCCTGTGGAAGTGGTGGATCATATAGAAGGAACTGATGATTGACTAGTGAGCCTGTGGAAGTGGTGG